GGGGGGTGTAGAGGGTTACCAAACTATCACTGTAGTGGGACCTTTTTGTGTGTGTGTAAGTTGGACCTTAGGAGGTGTGATGTGGTGCGTCAAAGAGCAAAATGCCTGGACTTCTTTGTTCTTTCTTCTTTTTAAGGAATGGGGGTAATTTCGGGTAAAGAGAAGCACATCGACACAACAAAGGTCATTTGACACGTCAACCTGAACCAATCGACAAAAGTAGGAGTGTCAACTAATGTCACAGGATACAAAGGAGCTGACCATTGATACAGAACTTGATACACATAGAGGAGGAGGAAGAGATGAGAAGTAGAATAAACGAAGTGGAGAAAGAGAGCATGAAAGTACAACACTGCAGAGCCTCAAAAGTTCATCCAAAGAGCAATAATAGTTAATAAAAAGATAAAAAATAAACGGGTTTTGTCTTTACAGCTTTACATTAGTCAAGACAAACTGTAGATCACTACACTAGGACACACACAGCAGCCAGAGCTACTGGGCGACTAGACACAACAAAAGTACCGCATGTATAATTTATATAAATCTACACACCAGAATAACATAATAACAATGAAGCACACCGACAAATGAAACTAAACCATCTTGACACATCAAACTGAACCATCACAGAACACTGATTGCATTAGGTGATGATGATACAAGAAAAATGAAAATATTGGAAAAAACTGGTAACATACCAACTGGAGTATGCAGCGGTGAAAATAAAACATATCAAGGAAAATTTGTAATCACAAAGCATTTGCACTACGCTAATAATAAATAAAAGTTGATGACTGAATAAAGAGCCAACATTATGAACTCTGTGTGTAATTGGTAGTAAATATTGAACTCTATGTTTAACTGATTGAAAATTCAGGACAAGTAAAATATAATATAAACTATATCTAATTCGAAAGAAAAAAATGATATTGGGTCGTCAACATGCTTTACGCATTAAACAGTTAAGTTCAGAGTTCCACTCTGCTAAATTTCCTTCCTCTATCCTTTTGTTTCACAGGGTGACCATAAAAACAGTTTGTGGGTGGTTGGCGGGTGCTCTGGTGTGGTTTGCTTCTTCTTTCCTATCAAACATCTATCGTCCTGATCTCCCCACCTTCTTTTTTGTGTTTGTTACTCTCGTGTAACACCTCTAATCTTCAGCACTTATATATATATGACCTTATTGAGTAGCAAGTGCCATAAAACACCTACTAAAATAAAAAACAGTTAGACAACTTTAGAAGGAACCTTGACCCTTCTTCAAAAATGTTGAGAACCCTTGCCCTGTACCATAGACCGTTCTGTATACACATGACAGACACACTGTCAGTGACACACAGCTAACATTAAAACATTAACTCTTGTCTTCGGCTGAGCACGTAAATTTATAGATGATAACTGATAAAGGTTTCGCCACCCCCCATTGTTGCAAAGCAGGTCCATCATGAGGTGGGCTATAGTAACCCTGCCTGGGAGAGCCAACCCTATAGGTTTCCCCGCTAGGGAATTGAACTCATGTCTTCTGTGAGCAGCAGCGAAAAGCGTAACCATTTCACCATAGACCCCAGTTATTGACGTCAGTATTTTGTGCAAAACTCAATAAAACCTTAAAGCAAATCCAAAGAAGGCGTTTGGGCTACAGTGTACTACAAGAAATCAAGAAATCTGTGAGTGGTTGGTGGCTGTATCTGATCTATATTTCAACTAGTAACTTGGGAAGGCTGGAGGCAGACTAAAACAGACTGG